ATTACCAAGGGCATACATTCAACAGCAAAAAGAGACATAAAAACTTGATTTCGGAGAATCCCTTAGCGGTATATTGTGACCTCAATTTCCATTTAGAAGGAAAAGTTAGTTCGAAGGAAAGAAGAGATATCCCCAAAATGGGATCATGAGGGACAAATGGGAATCAAGAAAAGATGATTGTAGTGAAATTAGTCAAACTTTTAATCAGTCTGAAACTTTACTTGTCTGACTGATGACATACCTGACTAGAGAGTTTATCAACCAACATACACTAGAAACTATTATGTTTGACTGTCAAACTGAGTGACAGGAGGAGTGATCATGCGTGATTTAAGAGTTGAGAAGAGAAGCAGCTCATCTTCATACCAACGGTTCCCAATAAAGCCAGACCCAAGGCTCCAGTGAATGAGATATTATGGGGTTGGGATGAAAGAGAGGATAATTGGGTCATGGGCTTGATGCTTTGGGAAAAGAAAACCGGTGACACTTGTGCCTAGACATGATGTCAAAATGGTTAAGCAGAATACCGGTTAAGCGAATTGATTTAACTTGTAAATTTGATAACTGGTATCTCTGTGTTAAAGATGGCGCCTCTTATTGACGATGCCAAAGAAACATCTGGGAATGTATCAAGTCAACGGCCAGCTGCTAGAAATCACCATGAATACTTTGGCAGTGGACACAGAACTAGGTAATTTCCACAAGGTTTCCCCACCGCTCAGACCAAATTGTGAAATCAAAGCCAAACTATTCTATGCAGCTAAAGAAGACACCGACCAAACCAAGAAGTTCTATTTTAAGTTTTTGTTTTACAATCGCGAACCCTAAAATAAAACACTAAAAGCAAAGCCCAGCCATATTATATACGAGCGATGTGAATTGATAAATAATGACATTATTCCTGACTAAATATTTTACTCCTTAACACGAGTCATACACCTGAAATCAAACCCTATAAAAAAAATTAGTTGAAATTTGCATAGAACTAATATTCAAAGTTATCTTATCCTCATTTTGATAGCAGCTAATTAGGGACAGATTAGAATTCCTCGTTGTGAAAGGAAACGTATAGCGAAAGATAATGTACATTATTTCCTTATTCAGAGCTGCCCTCTGAGAAGCCATTTTTTATGATTATCCATCTAAAAAGCTTTTGGTCTTGAGAGTTATCTGAAGACCCATAGAATAAACTAAGTTCACGTTGCAACAGTAATTATGATTTAAATCTTATTCGAAGTTTTTAATAAAATATCTTTTGAAATTATCCCTTGTTTTGCATAAGAAATGTATTCATTCTAGATTCCATAGGGTTATTTAGAAACCAAGTGTGGAATCCTGTAAAATGAAATGAAAACTTTTCACGATAAAATTGAAGTTTACTCAGACATTCCTTCAAAAGATTTTATATCCAAGGCAGGCAGGAGTTTTTTTAACCTAGCTTAGCTCGCATCAGCGCCTCTAACGAGATTCGAAACCCGGTCATGGTGTTTAGTTAACCCTACGCCACTCAACCACGTTAGATAATGGGTCAAAGTGCCAATTCTACATTTAAGAGAGGCCAGGCGTCCACAATATCATAATGCTAATTAAGAAACAATTAATAAAATATAATTTTTAATATGTAATTAATGGTTTATAAACGATCAATGTGATATTGGGAACGCCTAGCTTTGATAATTAATAAATACTAGCTAACAATTAATAATGCGCTTAACAATAATGGAAATATTAATTTGATCTTAAAATCGACAATGACACTTAATTTGTCGTCAAGTTTATTTCGAAACAACCAGTAGTGAATAAGAATGGATCAGGAGGCCTGTACCGAGCCCTACCGATTTGATACAAAACAAGTGAATGCGGTGTAAAGTCAATGTCTATCCGAAAGTCGTACGTAGTTATTTTAAGGTAATAAAGACTGAGTCATATATCTAAAGATGATGAAAGAATGTTCAGGGGCCTGATAATTGCAAGTAGACAAGCGATATTATGAAATGTCTAGTGGAGCCTCGTGGAAAAGGCATCAGGATCAAGCTGTGTGTAGAGATGCAATACGAAATTGGTTCGAAAAATGTCCTTTTGCTGTTGCAGAGTAAATACATAAATGTAAATGTAGATGAAGACTTAAGAATGTGGTGGTCAGACCAATTTAAGTGCGTCTTGAAGTTGGGTATGTGCGGTTCTCTTACATGAAGGTCCTATTGAATTTACGTTGGCACAAGTGCGTGCAGAAGAGGTATAAACAATAATAACACAATATATGTTGTTTGAACTTGTTTTCGCAACTCGGTCATATTGGTAGAAAGACTTAAAGGAACGCACCTAGTCCGGAGTTCATTGTATGCATCATCATTTTCAGAGTAGGACCGTGGACGTGGTACAGTCCCAGACGTTCCGCCGGCATCTTAGTCGGTATCGTCAGTGAGTATCGCCATTCGTAGCACCATATTACAAACTCGTCAAATGGACAAGTGAATCCCATCCTTTGACCAAACGTGTGCTAAACATTTATGGTATCTCCCCTTCTGACCTGGCCTATTCACATTTTCTATATCCTCCTATCATGCTTTCCATGTAACAATTTTTTTTACCGTGCTTATTCTTAATGTAGTGTCATGTGCTCCTTCGAGCAGCATTCATGAAAACCATTCACACCCCACTGTCGTTATCACCCGCTTGACCCTTGTGCTGAGAATGTTGACCAGAGTCTGTCATATTGTTACGTAGTCCTACCCTGGGTCCTATCAAAGTCTCCCTCTTGCCCCGTCAAATCCGTCTGATATCTCCCTGGTACATGTATTTACTCGACCCCTGCCCTTCCCCATCAATGCATAATTCGTCCATCCCTTGCACCTGGACGATTAATTAGAGGTTAAAGCCTCAAAATAAGTGTCATGGTCATGCCTCTGCTAAATGGACCACATCTCTTATAAAACCTACTGTCAGCCAACTAGCTCGAATCGCCGCCTCGTCTATCTTGTGTCTATTCCTAATACCAAGTATATGACTTGCCATGCCCTAATTGCTTGTGTGCCAACCCACAAATGTTGTGGTACTGCTGCCTTAATGAAATGCATAATAATGAGGAAATTGACAAATGGATGATTAAATCTTTAATAAAAAATGATGCAAGACCACCGACAGCCTACGAACTACCGAAAATACACAAGTAAGGCAATCCTCTGAGACTTATAGTCAACAACAAGCATGGAGCAACGCATAAACTAGCGAAATTCATTTGCTTGAAGCCCAAGAAAGTAAATGACAGACTCTCTATTACCGTTAAGAATTTATATAAATTTTCTCAAAGGATCCAGAACATTGGGTTACTGGGGTCGGAACTGTTGACGTACAATCCATGTACACAAACATCTCAGGCGAGAAAGCGGTAAGCGCATTGCTGGGGATATTGGAGCGAGAAGAGGATATTCTGGAGGCAGAACTGATACGGAAAGAACGCTTAACACGACTGATCAACCTAATAGTAAGGACCACATATTTTAAATTTAACGGCAGTATCTATGAGCAAATATTTGGAGTACCGATGGGATCTCCACTGTCACCTCTTTAG